ATCCTCATTGCCACCCCTGGCCGGCTACTAGATTTTCTGGAGGAGGGAACATGTGTTGCAGAAACTTTCGCGGCCAATGCCAAGTTGTCTTTGTTGGAAGGCTGGCACTACGAATCTCAAAAGAATAACGTATCTGACGCTTGATGAGGCAGCACGAGTGACGGTCATGGATACCTGCGCTGTAGCAGCGTTTCTTCCTGTTTGCTCCTTCGTTTGTTTCTCTTTTCGTTTGTTTGTGTGTCACTGCAGACATGCACTCTGTTTTCCCATGGACCATGCAGGCAGACAGAATGCTCGATATGGGCTTTGAGCCACAGATTCGAAAAGTCAGAGCACTCAGTTGGAAATGCCGCCAGACCTGTTGGCCCAGCCAGGTGACCCTTTGTTGTTGCTGCTGGCATTCAGGTTGTTTCACAGATTCGACCCGACCGCCAGACACTGATGTGGCGGTCTGCTTAGTTTCACTTGTGCTTGTGTACTGGCTACAACATTCAGAGACCCCTCGGCATGGTCTAGATTGCCAGAACCCCGCGTGTATGTTGTCACCTTCTAAGGTCCGCAACTTGGCCCAAAGAAATTCAGCGGCTGGCAAGAGACTTTTGCAGAGAGGCCGGGCTGCTCTCTACACTGCACGCGTGATCCGAACCACAGGTTTTTTGGTCATTTGCCCACCATCTGAAGCAGAGGCATTCAGGCTTCAAGTTGAACTAGACTGCGGCAGATCAGGTTTGCAAGCAGAGCACAGGAGTCATCAGGCTTCAAAATGAAGCGACTTGCTCGGAGCATCAGAATCAGAGTTGGGTTTTTTTTGAACCACCGGTAGGTGCTTTTGCCGTGTTACCGAAACCACAGACGAATCGCGCCACATAGCTCGTGAGCTGTGGTTCATGGACAAATCAAGTTTCTGACGCTGGCTCGCAATCGTCTTATTGATCAGGATCCCATAAAGCTCACTATCGGGACCGAGGACCGACTTCAGTTTGTCGCGTGGCCCAGGAAGCAGTGCCTGAGCACTCTCAAGACCTCAAGACTTGCCATGGAGAGATCGGATTCTGCAGGAACTCTCTCTGAACCCAAACATCACGCAGCAGATTGAGGCAGAGTTCGCTTGAAGCAGTCGCTGCAATCAATGGTCTTAAACAACTATCTGGCCAGGTAGTGGGGGAGTATGACAAGCGGGACAGGTTTATGAGCTGGATCAAGAGCTTTGAGCCCAGCCAGGGTCTGTTTCTTTTGAGCATCTATATCTTTGATGATGAAGAGCCTGGTCCATGATGCTCGACATCCAAATCACCCTCAGAGTGTGCGAAACCTGCACACACGCCCCGAAATGACGCTCCCTCTATGCCGAATCTACGCAGTCTGAGTGCGAGACGGCATGACTTCGCGCCTAAGCAAGTCTCTCATCGGGTCTCCAGCCTACATAAAAATCATAGTTGTTCCACTGGAGCAGCTTGACTTGCAGCGACTTAGCAGTAGGTCAAGCAACGTACTGCACTGGGATGTCTGGCTGGAAAGGTGTGGCAGCAGAAGAAGAAATCAAGGTGCTCGTATTCACAGAGTGGCCTGGCCCCATTTAACGTGTAGGACGAAGAGGGTTTGCTCAGATGTATGCGAGCTTCACACTTCGTGCTCGCCAGAACAAAGCGTGGTGCCGACTCGCTGTGCCGCGAGTTGCAGTGCGCCAATCAATGCATTCTGTTTAGCAAGATCGCCGCACACAGACGCGTGCAGCAGTGCATGCTTCTGATGAGGTACCAGAATTTGTCAGCCAACGCTATTCATGGTGACAAGGAATCATGCATGATCAGTCATTTGCTAATGTTTGCCCAGCGGGCTCGATGCTTGTTTCGTTGTGCAAATCGAGAAATTGAGAATGGAGGAGCAACGGCAACGGGACAAAACCCTGAATGATTTCAAGACAGGACGTCTGAAACTTACATACTCTACAGCCGGAGAGCTTTCGTCGTGACTTATTCAGTTGCTAAGGCTGCAACATCCTCATTGCAACAGATGTTGCGCAACGGGGCTTGGACATCAAAGATGTTGCATTTGTTGTGAACTATGTCAGTCGCTCAGTTCAGTTGAGAAAGCCTGCGGCAGTGCTTTTGATCACAATGCTGGTTGAGGATGTTCCGAAGACCCTCGAGGACTACATCCACAGAATTGGCCGAACGGCGCGCTTTGGGCTTACATTCCCTCCAGTAAAGAGGGAAAAACACCATGGGGGGCCGAAGGGTCCAACACAACAAGCATGAGTGTCGAGCTGGCAAGAGTGTCTGCACACGACCATGCGACTTCCGTGCACCCTCGGCGAGAGCGACGGATTCCTCCAATCTTTGCTGCTATTTTGAAGGCGGCATGGTCATGCCGGCGATGCAATATGAGTAACCGAACAGGTCTAGGCACGTGCTGCTCACAGAATCCGCCGAATCCAAGAGAGGAGCGAAAACACGTTTGAATTGCACTTAAATCACTTGAAGGCCTTTGATAGCACATCATAGACAATGATGTAGGCCGACGCTGCTCTGGATTCGTTGTAGAATGCCCAGCGTCATGAAGTCATCCAATGTATTGCTGATGTAAAGCGGACTTGATTGAAGCTACATATTTTTAACGAAACGTGCAGCCAACAGAAAAGTGGCAACTGTTGGTGTATGACGCTGTTGTAAGAAGTAGACGGACTTGAAACAGTCCACGTTTTCACCACATAGGCCGCCATAGGCCTTCACAAGATACTTAGTTAGCTTCCACGCATATGGCACGTAGGAGTGCCAAAAAGGCCTTCGTAATTGCAGATAGAAAACACATCCCATGTAGCAAAATGCTAAAACCAAGCGAGTGAAAGATGCTAGGCACATCTTACATTGTCCTTCAACAGGCCAATGCATCAGATAAACTATCAGCTTGATAGCGCCAACCCTTGCGTAATCGAACTCCGTAGAGTAGGCCACCCAAGACAGCAATGGTAAAGCTTTTTTTGATTATTTTAAATACAGTGTTTACAAGAAGTGACAACTACATCGGGTCGCAAGCTCCACCGGCCAAGAAATTTTAGGCGGCAAGACACAGAATCATGCAGGATAGATTGTTTAATTTTCACTTTCCTCTCAGCCTGGTGCCGAAGCGTTCATTGAAGATGCAGGGAGCAGTGCAGATTTGTTTCATGGTCCTGTAAGAGCTTGAGATCTGCAGAAGACCAAGCAAGGACGAGTGGAAGGCAGAGAACGCGGAATCATGTTGCCTTGAAGAATAAGTCTGTGTTCATGCACAGGAATCAGAATGCAGCAAAGTTCGCTTGGCTTCCCAAATTTAGGACGGAACTGATAGACAGTTTGCGATATCGCCTTGCATTTCCAGATCAGAGGAAGCGTGGTGAAATCCTGCAGTTGAGAAGTGGGCTCCTCCGTGATGTGTTTACATTCTACTTGTGTTGTTGAAGACGGCAGCAATGTGAAGAGTCACCGTAGGGAAAACCGCAAGGAAGAAAGGAAAGATCAATGGAAAGCTCGAGGGGTTGAGTTTTTGCAAGGCAGCCGAGACAAGCGCGAAGGTGTGGGCAGGAAAGTAGGGCACCATGTTACATTTTTCTTTTAAGGGCTGCAGTGTATGCACTATTTGCCATGCGTGCCGCACAAAAGTAAGTCTGTCCTCAAATTCAGTATGAAAAGACATGAAAAGCAAAGGCAGTATCGCCGCCACATTCGTAGACCAGATCACGGAGCACGTCAACATTACACGTGAAAAGCAGCCCTGCTCGCTGTCAGGTGTAACGATGGCTACTGAGTAGCCCAAAAAGGTTGGCGGCATCGCAAACCGCTCCACACACTGCCAGCCCTTATGTCTGAGTTGACATGGGGTTTCAAACTGTGCTCGAGATTGCGTGCAAGGCTTTGCAATCACCCAATCACGCGGACGGACCCACGGAGATGTGCGTGTGGATGTTTGGATCCAGCTTAGGTGGTGGTGCAAAGGGCACCGCTGTGACTTTCTTCCCCGCGGACGCCTACACTCCTGACATGATCAGGATGGCAAGGGCCATCGGCAAGGCGGAGATTGTCCGTGTGAGACGACAGGTTCAAAGACAGCCTGTGCAGGCCATACGCGACGTAGGGCCGGCCCCTCACGGGCAGACGGGTATCGTAGTGGGGATGCAATTGAATTGCCCTCTGGCATTCCTGAGGCAGGCTCCACCCAAGGAGTTGCTGGAACTGGGAGGCCCGCTGCTTTCGGCTGTGCTCTGCTGCGCTGAACAACTCCCTCTGTTCATATCTGACGTATCGAGGCAGCCGGCGATGAGGCTGAGGCAAGGTGTCTACAAATAGATATTTTACATCGCTTGCTTGCTATGCGCCTGAAATTCGCAGGAGTGCTGGCGAAGTTGGATTTTGAGCGTCCGTTCGAGCCGGTTTTCAGTGTCAGAGGCTGCACAGCCACGTATCATAACATAGCGTGAAAGCAGAAAGTGCTTGCAAGTGAACTGTATGCGGAAAGTCTTAGTTCCGACATGTGCGTAGGCAACTGTGTGTTGTGCACTGTGCAACCTCAGGGCAGTTGTAGCGTTGACTGGTTTGGTGCGCGGACCACTCATGCGAGCCTGGCGAAGGCATCGCAGTCATTGCAATTTTGATTTTGTTTTTCGGGCGGTGCCCCTCAATACGGATGATGAAAAGGTGTCTTCTGCTTCTTTCACTCATCTCACATTACGTCATGTCATCGCCCCTAGATCGGTAAGTGTGAGTTTCAGATTTCTTTCGTGTGGAGTTCAGGCTTGAGATGTCAGGTCGATGCAGGGATGCAGGGACTTCAAGACCTGCTGCGTCCTTGAACCACGTTCTGCTCGTGACTCCTTATTTTGGCTGTCTTGGCTTGTGAGCACCGGGCCAAAGCAGTGCCGGGTGAGAAGCCGGCCATGGAAAGCAGGCAGTGCGAGTCGCCGCTCCGCACAGTTCTCGGTCTGCTCTGTCTGTGCGGAAGGTAGACGCGACCTTTTTGGTTAGATGCCGCCAGCCCGGCAAGGGTTGAGTGGGGGTTCTGTGCCACCGTGCATGCAGGGATCCGGCAAATGGTTCTTTTTCTTACGAAAGCAGGATCTCGGAAGTTTCGGGTTGTTTAATGCGGACCTCGGTCTGCAAAATCCTGTTGAGAAGGAGGATTTGGTTGACCACATGAAACTGGCTTTGATGATCTTTGCCACTTGACAGGGAAGTTTTGCGAGACTAGCTGGCAGACTGCTGCAGCCAGGAAGCTTGCCGTTCTCAATGAGGCAGAGGAAGAAATCCCGGCTGGACACCAAGAAGGGTTCACAGGTATTGGAAGGTGTGTGAGCCATCCAGACCCCGTCGAACCCCAGGAAGGTGCCAATTCTGCAGAAGTCGTCGTAGGCAGCAGATTTCTTGAGACAGTGCCGAGCGCTCCGAAGAGATGGATTGGTTTTTTCGATTCAGGCATAGCAGACTTGATCGGAATAGACATCGTCAACGAGCCTCAGCCTTTCACTCAGAGGAAGTCCGCCTCGCGGACCTGCGCTCTCTCTCCTTTGTTAAGAATTCAAAGGAAAGACAAGACATGCGTCCCGTCAACTGGTGTTTGAAGGTTCCTGTGGATCGCTGAAGAAGCATCGCGAGCACACATTCCTCCCGACTGGAAGGCTCTCTTGGGAACTGCCGAGTGTTATATGCAAGACTTGTGGCTTGAGCTTTCGGAGTTGTGATGTCGCAGCATTCGTCAAGCGATCGGAATACTGGCCATGGCATTCTCGCCAAGTAACGCTGCCAATGCCGCGATCGCCGTCTTTCGGCCAGTCACTTCGCGACTCTCACGGCCGCTGTCGTCCCAATTCGAACAGTGATCCTGCCGCCCATTCCGCGCCTTGCCACGCAAATGTCGAACATTTGTTGGCAGAGCACTTCAACAACTTGCCTTTCTGGTTCCTCAGCAACCCATCGGCTTGTCCCGCGGTCGCTGTGGCTGGGGCGTTTGGAACCGGTGGCCGCGAAGGCGAAGTTTAGGGACGTGCACCCTGCACAGCAGGACTTTGTAATCACACTGTTTTGCATTCTCAAAAAGGCACTCTATCTACTGTCCTCTTCTCTGAAGACTGCCCGAAACGACGCATGTAAATTTTGATTCGCAGATCTTTCAACTCGGATCTTGCAGGAGTTGACCAACGAAGATGGAGAAGTGTCGTGGACACAGCTTGGATGTGCGTGTGATTGTGCCCAGAATTCTGGTTCACGTCCGTGGACCTTCTGTCATGCCATGCGCTGCTGAGGCTGTACTATCACACACAGGAGCGGAAACTGCAAAAGGCTGGTGCAAAGATAGGTTCGACTGGCCTTTTGCAGACATGCGAACTACAATTATCGCGAAGGTGCACCCCCTCGTCTTGCGATATCAGGAGGCCAAGTACGGAAGGGGGGTCACCTGTGTCTT